ATGGTACGTGGGGTGCCCGGATAACATTTTCGATGGTACGTGGGGTGTCTGGAGAACATTTTCGATGGTACGTGAGGTGCCGGGAGAACATTTTCGATGGTACGTGGAGTGCCGGGAGAACATTTTCGATGGTACGTGGGGTGCCGGGAGAACATTTTCGATGGTACGTGGGGTGCCCAGAGAAGATTTTCGATGGTACGTGGGGTGCCCGGAGAACATTTTCGATGGTACGGGGGTCCTGGAACAACAAAATCCACATTTTCGATGGTACGTAGGATTTGGGAACCTTCAAAATCAAAATTTCAATGGTACGTTTCCAAAATGTACCATTGAAAATGAAGGTTTGTTGGAGTTCGTCCCTCCCCGGACCAACTTGTACCATTGATCTTCATATCACTACTCAACAAAAATTTCAATGGTACGTTTTGGAAATGTACCATTGAAAACCTATGTTTTCGAGGGTGCGGTTCAATTTTATTTTTTGACCTCAAAAACAAAATTGAACCATTGCCTCCAAAAGATAGGTTTTCAATGGTACGTTTTGGAAATGTACCATTGATTTTACTTTTGGGGTCAGCAAGTAAAATCAATGGTACGAGATGGTCTGACAGCGATTCCCGACTGGATTTCTCTTAGCTCAAGACGCAAGCCAGTGCCAAGGTTTGCGTAGTTTGCCTGAACGTGCGTGGTCCCATGGCAAACCCGGTGATAGCAAGAGCCAAAACTATGATGGGTGCTGAGAGCACCCCGAAAAGAGAGGTAAAGGAGATGGATGCCGATGACTTCACCCCGCCCCCCGTTGCGAAAAAGAACTGCAGCGCCTTTGGCAAGTTCTTGAAGAAGCAAGAGGGTGATGTGTCCATGCTGCAGGACCCTTGGGAAAATATGTTATATTCTACTCCGGATTGAGGTTGAAGTTGATATTTGATAGTGTCACAATATAAATTACACATTCTACAATACACATTAATATATATATATATATATACATGCGTGCTGTTCAGTCCTACTAAGCTGGTCACTGTCAAAAGCACATTCCCTGTGCTGATACGGGTTTCCCTTAGCAAACATACGTATTCAAAAGATGAAATCCCGCTTCCGTTGAGAACAGGTCATGTGGATCCTCTCCAAAAGTTTGTAAACACCAACACTCTCCTGCATGTGTTGTCGATTGGTAGTGACACTAGCTGGTTCTGAGGAGATGTATGACTTTTTGGTTCTCTTTGACTCCGACAACATTGCCGCGAAACGCAATGCTCATCCTGCAGAGGTTGTCCCCTACTTTTTGGGGACATCGAACCTAGATGTCAACATGCAAAGGATGAAGCAGTTGGAGCTTTGGTACATGGGCTACCAAAAACAAAGGGGAACCAGCATGCTATTCAAGGCTGCCTCTGACGTGGCTGGGGGCTCAAATATAACCAATGTAACTGTAGTGGGCACAAAAACAAACGGTCTGTCTTCATAGTAGCAAGACTAGCTAGCTTTGCCTGTTGTTGCACAAAAGGTCCATGGATCTCCACACTTAGGTCATTGACAAATCCATGGACGGGGACACTCTGAAGTTGCCCATCTCCGCTTTCAAGCTGCTCGCAGCAAGTAGAACTAAACAGACTACTACTTCGTCATCACCCAAAAAATATACTGGGTTACTGGTGATCTTGCTGTGGCCCTTTACATGTCCCACCCTGGCCCTGCCCTTCATTCACCGGGTGGCCGCTGCTCAGCTGCTCAGGTTTTTGCCGCCTGCCGACGGAATGCCGTGCGTTCGGGATTGGTGCACGACATGGGAATCCATGATTCTGGGGGCATTGATTTGGCCAAGGAGCCTATATCCTGCAACGTCTGCCACTTACATTTGTTCACTTTGTTAACCATCCCTCCAAGAAGTAGTATATAACAGTGTTGGTGGCTAAGGCCTCTCTTGGTGGCAAAGGTCAGTGCCTTACTGTTTGTTCACATGTCAAGAAACAAAGCTGTCACAGCAGGTTTTTCCGGCTGAACTATATAGTACGAGAAAGGGAAACAAAAGACTTCAGGGGCACCAAGCTTGTGGTTATGTCCATCATGAATCCAGGTGATTCAACGCACCTGGGGACGGATGCTCTAGATGTGGTCAAAGGCTACACCAAGATCACGGTCATTATGTTCACACTTTTGGCCTGTGCAGAGCTAGACCCAGAGAATCCTGCAGACATGAAGAAGCTGCAACCTTTGTGGGCCTTTTTGGACAAGGCATGGCTTTTGCCAGCCAACGTTCCTCAGGCTTTCTCCAATCAAGCCAAGAGAGGTTGACAGTGGGTGGGGTTGGGGAGAACGTACATATACAATATAATATAATATATATATTATATACACACTTGGTTCTGAGCTTAAGGACCCCCAATGTGTATCGTAACCCTCTTGGTAAGTTTGTCTTTTTTTGCCAGTCAAACTTGGTAGATTTTACCCGTTTTGACATGACTCTCTAGTAAACTGTCTATTCTCGCGCAGTTAAGGTCATGCTCGATCGATCTATGTCCCAGCGGAGTTTCTGCAATTTGAAGTTGTCATACAGAGGGGCGGAAAGACAACCGCCTTCGGCATTGACATTAGCGCCGACATTCTCAGCGATCATGAAAGCCAAATCGGATGATGGATCTCACCCCGCCAACATCTCAACGGAGCAGCGACTTCAGATGATTGTGCAAGAATGGCACAATGAGCCAGGTGTCATCAGCAAGTGGCACCTGGACGAAGGGAAGCAAAGAGCAATCCTCAACATCCTCATTGGCACGACTTCAGAAACGAGGAGCATCATCCAGCAGCATCTCAGCTACTTTCGCTGGAAGGAATCCGCCCTGTCCAGCGATTTGCTGAAGTCCACTCGCTGGCTGCTCGGCGCGAGCCCCAAGCAAGCCAAAGATGAGATGAAGCGCATCCTGACGGTCAACGACTCTGTTCAAGAAGCATTTATCCTGAACTACATCGCTGGCTTCTGCAAGAGCACCCGCCGGGTCAAGCCCAGCGCTCGCTCCAAGTTGCGAGCAACTACCACAGAGTGGGATCGTTTGGTTGACTACACCTGTGTCATGCTCAATGCGAGGAACAAGGCGGATGCAGTATGGGCTGACAATGAGGAGAAGAAAAGGAGTGTGGGGGCAAGCCTGGCAAGGCTTGGTCAAGAAACTCCCCTCAAAAGATCTTATATAAAACTCAAAAGGTAGCCAGTGAATTGAACTACTTGGTTGAAAAGTTAGAATATGAACAAAGTAGATTGCAAAAAAGGCACATACAGTGACATCATACATTTGTTCAACTGGGTATCGTGTGCGCGGCAGGGACTATATGCCAGAAGTTCTTAGCTGCGTGGAGGTGGCCCTTCCAAATTGGAAGGTGGAGCACCTGTCCTTGTGGAATGAGCTTGTGAATCCTGTGGTGGACATGGATAGCCAAACCGAGGACCTGAGCCACTTGGAGGAGACCACGGTTGCCGCACAGTTTTGTGAGCTCAAGTCCAAGATCGCGTTCCTTGGATATTTCTGGTTCAGTTTTTTTTTTGGGGGGGCTAGGCCAGTTGAACTGGGCCACCAAACAGTCGTAATTTCGTGAACTGGCATAGGCGTGATGAGCTTGCATGGGTCAAGTTCAAGAATATGGAGAAAAAGAAAGCAGCTCGTGAACATATTGTCTCCGTGACACACGCCAAAGCCCAAAATGCAATTGGGCAAGGGACACTCAGCAAACCAAGTCAATGTTGTTTTGCCGTTCACACTCCAGCGTGGTAGTTTCTCCTGAAAATAGTTTTATGGAAAAACATAATAATATATATTTTTGGAAACTAAGTATAAATTACGCTCTATTCTTGCAACCACAGGATTGTGGAGCGCTACATGGACAAGCATTGCAATCTCACTCTCGTCGCAGATGTGTCCAATGTCCCTCACATTGGTTCCTGGCTCCAGCAGGCTGCAGCAGAGTGTCAAACCAAGGACAGAGATCTGCCCAAACCAGTGTTCTATCGTACTATTTATAAACAATTGATCAACAAATTGATAAAGCCCGCAATAACATGCAGTCTGGCCCATAGCCAGACCTTCACCCCAGGTCAGGCCAGATGATCTTGCCGTTCTCATGGTCATTGACTTCACGAAGATTGGCGTTACAACGACCGCATCCATCAACAAGCACTGCGCTATTCTGCAGAAGGTTCTGCAACGCAATCCCACGCGTTCCCTGCCCCAACGGGTTTTCAGTTCTATGTTTGGAAGCTATGTGTCATGTGTCAAGTGTTGTGTTTTCTTGGAATTTGGGACTTTAATGTGATTTACTTTTGATTGCGCTCGAACGAAATCAGGTAGCGCTGGCTTGATCATTGCTCCTTTGCTAGTCTCCTCGTCCGGTGGAGGATGTCTGAGAAAGGATTACAGAGAGATCGAGGACAAGGCCGCCAACCTTGGAATTGCCTTGAGAAGTGTGCAGATAGGCGTTGACCTTTCTGGCCTTCACAAGAACACAGAACGCCCACTGTACTACTCTGCTTGGTTGGGTGTTAACGATTGCAGTTTGCCTTCAAAGGGTACCGGCCATCGAAAGAACAAGCGGGATGAGTCCGACGGAAGTGTCACTGAAGTCAACATCTTCACCAACAGCGTGCTGTGGAGATTGCAAGGGCTGCCTTTGGATAGTTGGCCCACAGGTCTTGCAGAAGCCGACTTTGTGGTTCCGTCTCCGAAGACTCACCTCGCAAGCTATGATGGCAGGAGAAATTTGAGCGATGTGCAGGAAACATCACAGTGGCTTGGTGGTGAGATGACCTTTGCCAAGTTGATTGAAGGAGCTGTTTGCACTTTGGTTGATTTGAGGAAAGCTTTCGAGTTTGTCTTTGCCAGGTTGAGAGGATCATGTTTGTGTCCTCTCAACCTGTCTTGGTCAGCCAGGTGTTGTTTTGTCAAGCCAAGCCTGTGTTTTGACAGGCGAGCACATCAAGAAGTGCGCAGTTGTGCACAGCACTGCCTATGATGGGGCAATTGAGCGGGCTTGCATCAATTTGGGTGTTCCTGTCATGAGCGTCACCGATACTCAAGTCCACTACAGCTACACATTGATGACAATTGCCAACAAACTCTTGGAGGCAGAAGCTTAATGCCAACCTGTCAGTCATGTTTAGATGTCGTTCAAAACTTTGTTTACTTTTAAGTTTACTATGCCAGGGGCCCAGTGCTGTTGCAATGCTCATGTGTGTTCCCGTGTTCCCTGCATAGGCTTGGAAAGCTGGCAGCGGTTCCATCGGCAAGTGTACACCAAAGTACCGGCAAACCCCAGTCGATGATGATCCCATCTCCATTGAGAAGCCGGACTTGCTGATTTGCTGCATCGACGATCAGGATCACCTCTCTCTCCCCGGGACCATCCGAGCCCAGTGGATTTCAGACCCGATTAGGGGCAGAGAATGGAGGGAGCTCTTGCAAGGCTTTGACAAGAAATGGAGCAACGCCGCGTCCGATTCCAGCAGTCCTGGGAACGTCCAACCTGCTTAGTCTAGCTCTCCTGGCCATAAGGAAGAGCCCAGCAGCACGGCCGCTACTGAGGAAGTGTCTTGGAGCAACATCTTCCCGGACGAGCCGACAACCGTTGCAGACCTCGAGAGCAAGTATGGCGTAGCATGCCATTCGTTCATGTTGAACACGGAGATTCAGGCTTCCATCCATGATGGCCCTGTGCTATTTCTTCGAGGTGTCGCTGATGGAGAAGTTACTGATGAAGACCCCGCGTTGACATTCGGAGCTGGAAGTTGGTTGCTTCATCAGAAGGCGAAAACCTTCAAACAGGACAGGTTCATTTTTGTTTGGGCTGGTTACCATGAAGACTTGCATTTGCCGAATAAAACTGCAAGTCATTGCTGGCAAGATGTGGTTCTACCAATTTTAATAGTCACATTATTCACATTTTTCAATATATTTTACATTCAATGTAAAATCTAGCAAGAAACCTGTGCAGGAGCACCCAACAAAAGGCTATGAGTTTGTCTTGACAAGCGACCGAGACATTGTGGTTGTGGAGGACATGAAGTTTCAAAGCTGGTGTTTAGTTTGTGAAGTAAAAATAATGTCCATCTGAAACTTTGGGAGGAATCTTAACCTGGTATAATCATGAGATGGTATCACGGTATGATATAATCATGAGATGCCACCCAAACCGCGCTTCGAGGACAAAGAAGGAAATGATGGCATCCCGATGACCCTTCGGTCAGCCCTCCAGCAGGTGGAACTGTCCGGCCTCGTCGACTATGAACTCGCCGGGCACCACTGCGCTCGCCCAGCCTCCGTTTGCCAAAACCAGGAAGAAGAAGATAGGCCGGCGGTTAGCAAACAATATAGCATTAAATCGTGTGTCTGGTTTCAGTTTATGGTTGCAGCTAATGGCCCTTCTGGTTTCAGTTTATGGTTGCAGCTAATGGCCCTCAGGTTCGAAGTCGGGATCAAGGAGGATTCTTGCATGGTTTGGAAGCCATCTGCGGTCCAGTTGAAGAATGTCAAGGCGGCCAATTGCGCTAGCTACTTTGATGCTTCCCAAATCCTTGCATCACCAGCACTGACCCAGGCGAAGGGTTTGAGCACTGTGCAGCCAATGCAAACAGTTCAAACACATTGCTTACTGCTTTGGTTTCAAATCTTTAAAACAATTCCACCACGTTTTCAATAACTTAAATATGTAACAAACAAATGAGAACTCCCCCACAGGTATGGCGCATTCGTGGCTACATCCCGGAGAAAATGGTGGGGGCGGCGAAGCCCCTGATCTTTTTGAAAGCCAAGTTGTCCTTGCCACAAGGGCAATGCAAACGCATTTTGTGAGGTAATCTCGTCAAGAATATGACGGGGCTTTGGGGCCGCTGGACTCTCGCGTGAACAGCTAAGCAGGGGATGAGTGGTCTACGGTCTACAATAACTTATAACAGACCTCAAAACCTTGGAAATAATCCCAAACAACTTCTAATTATAGCCGTGTTGGGCCCTTTGTTAGACTACTCGAGGGGTAATGCAGCTGAAACACGCCTCACACTGAGCCCTCCCGGAAAAGATGCCTCGCTGAACGCCAAGCCCGCAATGAAAGGTTCACACTCCTGGCAGTGCTGGACTGTGTGAGTTTACCTGAGCTTGAAGTGTGTTTTGGCTCTAGTGTGCTCCAAATTTCAAACAGGCTTTGTTTTGGGGACGCAGGTGTGATGGAACTAGGATCGGCAATTGTGTGGGATGTGGATTCCCAGGAGGGTGTGGACTTTAGTGAGCCCAGCCCTCCTGGTTGTGGGTTTCACGCGATCTCACCTGTCCTGCCGGACTTCGCTGGTTTGGAGAAGTATGGCCTTGATGCTTGGGAACCCAATTTGGGATCTGCAGCAATGCCGGTGTTGCCACCAGAAGAAACCAGGCTTGTTGGTGCTGTTGCCTTTCATTCCCTTTCATTCCGTTCATTATCAACACTAGACTATCTATTGAGGACTCTTTGGGTGTGCTCCACAGCAGCTTGTGGCAGGCGACCAGAGCTTCGACGCCTACCCCAGTTCCGGTGGAGCGCTGCTAAGTGCAAGGCGGCCCCGTGTCCGTCCCCATCCTTTCCGGAGCCCCATACCTCAACACCCAAGCGAGAGCTTTTCCCCTCAGATTCCCAAGAGACTTTGGATTTGGGGTTTTGGGAGAGCACGCACCCAGACGCACCCGTTTCAAACGAGATTTGGCAAGATGGGCAAGGCAAGGAGAGCCTAACAGAAGAGAAGACCGAGAAGACAGAGAAGAAGGAGTCCGAGAACAATCCAACAAAGCCTGCAGAAGAGATTGCAGCTCCGGAAGGGCAGACACCCTTGACCCAGAAGTTGACAGACCCAAAACCAAAAGAGGCGACTCCCTCGACCGAGAAGGCCAAGAAGACACACACACCCTTGCCCGAGGGGCAGAAGGCAGCCTCACCCGAGAAGACACCGACACCCTTGCCCAAGGAGCAGAAGGCAACCTCACCCGAGAAGACACCGACACCCTTGCCCAAGGAGCAGAAGGCAACCTCACCCGAGAAGACACCGACACCCTTGCCCAAGGAGCAGAAGGCAGCCTCGCTCGAGAAGACACCCTTGCCCAAGCAGGAGACAAAGCCACCAGCAAAGATGGCAAAGAGCAAGAGCGGCCAGAAGCCCAAGGTAGAAAGAAAGACACAGAAAGAGGCAGAAGAGAATCAGAATGCAGACTCGAAGACAAAGTCAAAAAAGGCTGGGGCTGGGGAGGGTGGCAAAACGAAGATGCAAAAGAAGCCAAGAGGCGGTCAGAGCAAAACAAACAAGAGAGAGAAGACCAAAGGCGGCAGGTCAAGGAAGGTGACGACAGGTCGAAGAAGTGTAAAGAAAACAAAGCAGACCTGGAAAAAGACTGAGGCCCAAAAGCAAGTCCATCGGCTGGCCTCAAAACGTTGGCATGACAAATGGATCCAGAAAGGTGTGCCAAGGGCCAGCGTAGCGGAGGTAGAGACTGAGGAGACACGCAGAGCCAAGCAGGTAAAAAGAAAGAGGGAGACACAGAAGAGCCCACAGGAACCAATCCAGGCAGCCCATCCGCTGACCCAGGACAATCTTTTTGGCTTTATTTTCTTTTGCAAGCTTTGAAACAAAGGTGTAAAAAAATAATGATAGCAAGACTTCCTTTCAGCCGTGAAGAGTGCACCCCTCCCCCTGACAAACCTGATGCGTACGTTTTTCATATGTGAAAATCACTTTGGGCAGGAGATTGATGCCCTTGCAGCGGATGGTGTGCATATTTCCCTTCCTCCAACCAATGACCTACGTTCTGCCAAAGCCGCTTTTGTGAACGCATACATGGAGATGCTTACCAAAAAGGAGAACGAACTTGTGACTTCTAGTGGGTCTGCTGAGGGACCTATGCTGACCAATTCGGTCAAATACAAGAAGGCTGTGGCAGCTTGGATGGATTCCAGCCTTCGCTGTGCTCTGCACAGTGGCAAAGCAAAAGGCTTTGCGGGGGTATCATTTTGATGCATCTTTACAGCTTGACTTGACGTCTTGCACCTTGGGGAAAATGACCGAAAGAGTCGCTCGGATACCTCATCTCCCCACAACACCCTTCCCTCAGATTCACCGCCAGCGCTCCTCCTGCTCGTTGCCAGGCAGCCAACAGCAGCCGCTGCCACAGCAGCCAGTGGCTGCTGGTTGGTGGGTTGGGGAAACTGGATCTACTGTAAGTTTCAGACCCAAATACCTCGAAACTAGATCTACTTACTGTGAATATGACATATATATAGTATTATTAATATGCTAACATATCATCGTATATACAGCATCTGTGAGAGATTGATACGTAAACATCTCATCTCAAGACGGTTTGGCCGCTGGCTTTCGCGGTGGAGAACCACCGCCTGGACGAGTCCAGACGAGTCCCTTCGAGCGAAGCCAAATCGGCACCGAGGCGTTGCTCGCCGGGCCAGTCAGGAGAGAACGGAGAAACATGAGTTGGTCTACTTCGTTCGCTTCTTGCTATTAGTAGGACGGCCAGGAGCCCCTACTAGTAGCGTCCGAACGCTCCTAGTAGTTGTGCCAGGAACCCCAAATAGCTCCTTGTTAATACTCGCTCACTAACCCAGATCCAGGTTGGTTTTGTTTTTTTTGGCCCTCTTATTCCAGCGGGTCAAACTGGGGAGGTCTCCCTGTTTGAAAGCACACCCGATTCGTTGAGTCAGTTGGTGTTTCAGGGACTACTCGTCCCAATCATACTAGACTTGCATAAAAATGTGCACGGCCGGCGGCACTTTGTAGGACGAGTTGAAGAAACAGGTCGGCTTCAAGGCTGGACGGAGCGTGGAATGGCGACGCCTGGACTTCCAGCGACGGGTCTCGACCCCCAACAGGAGACTCGGCCAGTCTAGCGAACGGGGAGACACCCTGCCAAGTCCAGAAATTGAGAAATATTGAGAAAGGACAGAGACTGATTAGTAGTCAAACTGCGCTTTTCTGGAAGAGGATGTTTAATGTCGAGGTAGGATTAATCAACGGCCCCCCCCCTTCAAGGTCAACAAGGTTTGAGATTGGAGGTTTTGGAGATCACATCCCCCTAATAAAGCCGATGACCTGATGATGGATGATGAGAAGAGGACCTGGACCTGATGATGGATGATGATTGAGTGTATGGGACATGAGGAGATGAGAGTTTGAACCATGAGAACCATGAGCACCTCATGTTGAGGATGATGAGAATCAGGAGATCAGTTTCACCATGGACCAGAAGATATTGGATATTGAATAGTAGAAAAAATAAAGTCAATAATCAATACATACATATAATTAAACCATATTAACCTTTTTTTTTTGTTTGGGGGAGCTGGGATTGACTAATAGGGGGAGGTTTCTGCACAGGAAACAATTATTAGGGTGATGCCAAGGTGGAAATCTAGGTTTTCAATCAGTTTAGTATTGGAGGGGTCGAGCGGTGGTTACTTAATCCTATGTCAACATTACCTTTGGCACTCAAACCTCTGGTCGTTTAGATTTCGTCCCCGAAACGATCGGTTGCAGAGCCTCAGGCTGTGGATGACTACGTGAAGAGTGGAACCGTGATCGGTCTGGGCACAGGCAAGGCCGACAAAGCATACCCCTGCTGCAGCAAGGAAGTGAATCTGAGATCTGCAAACCAACAGCATTCATCAGCATTCGCTGGCAAACTGTGTAGGTCCGGTTGGTTCACTCTTGTATGGCGCCCATCGGTTTGTGAAGGTCTGAGCTCTATGCAAACGTCCTGAAAGCCAGCTTTGGATAGAAAGTGCAGAAGAACGTTTTCAGAAGAAGCGCCATGTGTGTGAAGAGGAAGCAATTCACACAGCTCACAAAAGCCATCAGTCTATTTACGAGCAGTTACTAGGGGCTCCTGGCATCGCTACTAGCAGTCGTGGAGTTTGAGGTCAGCCTGTTTCCCAAACGTCATCTCCCTCAGCGGACGCCTCGTTCTCGACTCGTGCCTCTCACCGAACCTTCGTTGCAAGGCTCCACCGCCGCCTTTGCAGTGGAACGGGTGGGCGAGAAGCTAAAGAGTGGCGAATTGAAGGCACGGGGTGGTCATTCCACATGCGAGGCCGTCTGGATTTCGCGTGTGGGCACGCCTTCCAACCCGGGACACGCGCTCGTGGTTTTCTCCGCGCGTGGGCCGGGGTTCGCCGATGTCCTCTGGGCGTTGAACGATGGAACTTCCAGGAATGCTGTTAGAAGAACCGGGTCTTCCGAATTCGTCGGTGGGACGGTGCCGCAAGGGTGCATTTTCAAGGTTTCCTTGAATGAGATCACCTTTCACCTAAGATCCATCTACTGTATGTGCAACAATGTTTTGTTGTTCAAAACTACCAAGTATTTCTGGTGGAGACCCTTACCAAGCCACATCATCCTGATGTTCGAGCAATATGCTTTCAGACCAGAGTAAACATGCCAGTTGATCTGGCACTGCGCAGGGACATTGACATTTTATCGCTCTTGGCTGGATTTTGGACCCCCTCCAGACGAAGCATGTTTGTTCTTGCACAACTTCTGCATAGATATATATATCTCCTGGCTGAAATTGGTCTTGTTCATAGCCTCACCATGCAGTTGTTGCTTCTTGGAATGTTCTCTTTTCGGACCTTGAGCCAACTTGAGCCCCTTCGTGATTCAATGCATAGACTTAGACCGTCCGGTCGTATCTCAGGGTTTGTTGCAATACACCTTCAGGACATCATAGCCATTCCTACATCCATTCGCACCAAGGAGCAGGCAAGCAGGGTGGGGGGGTTGAAGGATGGGAGCCTGTCTTAGACGGTTGCTAAACCTGTAGCTGGTTTGGCACACTGAAACGTGCCACGACTGGGACTTACTCAACAAGAGCTGGGCCAGAGCGAACAAAAACCAAACCAGAGGCTTCCCCAGCAACATACAGTACAGGTTTCTTTTGCTTCTTTCTTCTTCTTCTTCTTCTTCTTCTCTTCTTGCTCAAAGATTGAGACCAAGGTTAGTGGCTAGTGGCACTTGTGATTCCGAACAGAAGTTTCCAAAAACATCCAAAAACGGACCCCTGCTTCAAGCACATGAAGAACACACGAGGACGAAATGTCCCGAAATAATCATGAAACAAGCCTCAGGGCGGAGATCTTCAGGGCCCACCCTGATCTGTGGCCGTTTCTTCCTCAGCTGAACCAACCGCGCAACGTGCCGCGCAACGTGCGAGGCCGAAGGTTTGGGCATTCCCCTGGCCACTCTGGACACCCACTCTGCAGCTCGGAAGCGGTGTCCCGTTGGGCACGGTCTCCGTGGTCTGGCACGGTCTCCGTCGCGGCCGTCGCGGCCGGGTTTGGGGTCTCCGACGACCTTTGAGGTCAGCTGTTGGAACCGGAGGCGATCAACCCACCGGACGTGGAGGATTTGGGGATTTCAAGGGGCTTATTTCGGTACAAGGATAGTTGTATGACTTTTGTTTGACATAGCGCCAGTCTGGGGGCCAAAGGGACTCCAAAACTGTCCACACTATGAACTGACCTTGCCGGATGATGAAAGAAGCGACACTTATTGACATGGGCCAACCTCTGTGGAATGGACATCGGGGATACCTTGGAGGTCATCGCTATTAGGGTGGAGGCCATCGCAAGTAGGTTGGAGGCCGCACTTCGGTTGGAGGGTCAACCTTTGTGGGATACCTTTGGACTCCCCGCTGCCCGAAATCGACGGGCAGCCCAGTCGGAATGGCTCTGGACCTCACACGTTTCAGCAAGAAATCCGCTCCAAGTAGCAAGGACGCTACTAGGTTGGAGGGCATCCCAGAATCCCGGTCTCATTTGGCAATGCTATAGGCCGATTCCGTGTTTGGACTAGTTGTTCTGGGCACTGTGTTCTTCTTCGAAGATTTTCCCATAGAGGAAGTGAGTGCACATTCGGTGCACGTGGGCAACTGCACTCCTGCAGAGAGGGACTCTCAGTCGACCGTAGTCTACCAATGGCTGTCGCTTGATGTCAAGCGAACTGCGCAGGGATTTGAAACGAAAGCGTTTCAAGCTGATCCACGACCAAATTGGCCTTTTGATAGAGTTCAGCGGCTATCGCTTCCATTCCGCCCTCGGCTTCGAATGGATCAAGATCATCCATAAGCTAAACTTCTGCCCGGAACTGCAGTTCCCACCTTATGTCAAGATCGAAATGAGGACTTGGATGTGGCCATCGATGGGGCAGATGAGGAGCGGCGGAGCGGGGATAAGAGACTCTCCCTGCTGACGACTGCCCTGAATAGTTGTGGAAGATCTAAGCAGGTGCTTGTTGAAAGTGATATGGAATTAGATGGGGCGGGGAAGTCCGCAAACTTATAGAATCTTATAGATAAAGAAGACCACGGCCACTTGCCCACAAGGTTGGAGGCCATCGCTGCTAGGTTGGAGGCCATTGCTACTGGGGTGGAGGCCATCGCTTCAGACCTTTAGGCTAAGAGCGATGGCCTCCACCCTAGTAGCGATGGCCTCCAACCTAGTAGCGTCCTTGCGACTAGTAGCGACGGTTGTTTCAAACTTAGGGAAATTATCCTCCTTCTGTGCTGGTCCTTTGCAGGTGGACCCAGCTCTGAACTTGGTCAAGGCGAGGAACGCCCCGATTGGCACGCAGCGCCGAATGCGTGCTACTGGGTTCTCCCGTGCTCCGAAAGCAGAAGAATGATTGGTAGTCGAAGACACCCCATCAGAAGTTTGCATCTAAATCGCCCCAACCAATTTGAGTTCATTGGTTGACCTTACTTGGATTTACTGTAATTTTATCATTCACAATGCTCCCTCCCACCTCTTCTCCTCGCCACTTTCCTCTTATTCCATTCGTTGCCAGTAGCCAGACACTCAGCAGCGCGGTGGTTCACCCTGGGCGACACCGTACTGCTCATCGGCAGTACGTTTGGGCTCGCCCTGTTTGCAGTATGTCTACCCTCACTCGGAACTCGGTGTGAGAATCCACAGCAACGAACTTGCGAAAACAGACTCAGCTCAATCACCAAGACAGTGCTACAACAAAGTGTATCTCCAGATGCTTGGCCCGTCCCTTTTTCTTCAGCCAGCGCATGAAACCATCGGATTCTGCCCCCATCAAGTCAAAGTGTGTATCAAACCACCCTGCAGTTCTTTCCCTGGACCACTTGAGAGGCCATGTTGTCACTGCGTCTTGATTCTCTGCACGGCCGACCTTCGTTTGGCCGATCTTCGTCCAAGCGGTTCACCGTCTTTCCGCTTGTGACACTGGATCGTCCTTCTCTTCACCCCGGATCGTCCTCCCGGGCAATGCCGGGCAAGGCATCTATATTCCATGTGCCATTTGAGAGTCTGGGTATGGAAGGATTCCTTCTCCGACAGCAGTCCTCATTCCGCTGGACATCCCGTCCGCGCATTCTTTGTCCGAAACGCCGCGGACCGGGTTCACGGTGCTGTTTTTCGCTGCTCCAGGGCGGAGGAGGCGCGCTCTTCCGGGAAAAGATCGTAGAGATGTGTGCAAAGAAGTGGCTTGGTGAGGGAGATTGACACCTGAGAGGGAGATTGGGAGGGATTTTTGTGAGACAAGGACGTCATTTTGGCTCTTGACATCACCCGTGCAGGGTGTCCAAGTTGAAGAACCAGGGTGTCCATGCATTTTGTGAAGGAATTGACACATTTTTTTCACTTCCGAGTTGCGGTTGATTTTGTGATGATGTGATGTGGCCTTTAACCTAATAGCAAAAGGAAGCTAGTAGCAATGGGCTCCAACCCGGGGTGCTTCCGCTGAAGTTTCCAGTTGATGGATCCCCGACTGACTCTTCAAAAAGGCGGGAAATCCTGTTGCACCCCTCGAGATATTTAGAGTTAATGATTAGTATACGCCGTAGACGCATTCTCGGAGCTGAGCCGAGCAAACACTTCGGCTCATTGACGCTGGTCCCTCCTCAGCACCCTGAGGTTTATTGTGATTGTGGACGAGTCCAAGCTTTGTGATGGCCGGAACTGCTCAGTCTCCACGCGGCCGGTTTTGAGAATCGTACTCAACTGTCCCGTAATTATGACGTCGTCGTTGATCTGGCATTTGCGGCGAGTTCTGGAGCAGTTTTGCAAGCAGTTTCAAAGACTAAAGACATACCAAAAAGCTTCTTGTTACTAGTAATGGCCTCCAACCTAGTAGCGATGGCCTAATAGCAAAAAGTACATGACAATTCTTTTTTTCCCACTCCACCAGCTGCCCTGACCTGTGTCGACTCCGCTCCATGTGTCGTTCTTCACGAAATTCGATCTCTTGGGGGCTTTCGCAAAATCCAATATCTAGGTGACGTGAAACAATAAGCTACTAGGAACAAGTGCATCGCTAGTAGCAACAGGTGCCTTACTACTAGTAACAAGAAGCTATTAGCTTATTGTTTCTACTGGCTTCTTGTTACTACTAGTAAGGCACCTGTTACTACTAGCGATGCACTTGTTGAGCACAGGCTCCTGGTTTCGCCACCAGTTAGGCTCGGCCCGCAGCTGCTTCTGCTCCAAAAAGGGAACGGCCGAAGATCAGAAGCTTAGTCAGATTGAAGACATGTCCTACACCGGCACTTTGAAGAGGCGCAAACCGTCACGCCTGGTTGGCTTTTCGTGTTTTTTTTTTCAAATGTTTTTCCTCAAACGTTCACAGAGAAGACATGTCGACTTGATTTGTTGGGCCTGGCCTTTTTCGGAGTAGCTGGTGACCGGAGATTCAAACCGGGGTGTTGAAACGAGGTCTTTGGTAGGAAGAGGTCAAGGACCAAGTCCTTTGGATTGATTGTTTTCCCCTTGGGTGGATCCGCCTTGGGGTCTTTTCTTGTCCTTTCTTCGGTTCGAGCATGGTAGAGACTTTTACTGCTTTCCAAGCTGGAAGAGATTGGTCCAAGATCTGAAGAACGGACTGCGGGGTCGATCGTAGTTGGCACCCATTGGCCGGAACATGCCGGAACTGGTGTTGGGTCTGTGCCAGATGCCGTTCAACCCATCCGTTCAAGGCGGTCCATGACATGAAAAACCATAGTCCATGCCCGACGCATGACAATGACATCACCATGCCCAAGAAAGTGACGGTGATACTTTCATATCTTTGATCAAGTTAAGATGACACAGCTGGCTCTGCTATATCGACAGTTTTGCAGGGTCTTCAAAATCACATTTTTACAACGGTATGTTTTTTTTGTGAGTTTCAGCTGTGGTGGTGATGGATCCTGCCTGTAGTCATATGCTTGCCTCAAAGATATGCATGTCTCAGTATAAGCACTTACATGGCGAAACCACAAATGGATCAGATTAAAGCAGTTATTTGTATTTTTTTCATGGTCACTGCAAAGATATCCTTTTACTATTTGTTGGTTGATTAACGGAGGGGATACCCGACAGGTGGAGCTTGTTTCAAGTTGCTACACGACATCAGATCAGATATTGACATTATTACAGTATCGAATCGTGATGGTATGATGGCCTTACCACCTCGGGTCTAGCTTCTTGCTACTAGTAGTAATGCCCTTGTTACTAGTAGCTTCTTGTTACTAGTAGCGATGGCCTCCAACCTAATAGCGATGGCCTCCACCTAATAGTGTCCTTGCTACTAGTAGCATTCTTCCAGCAGTTGTCAGGTTTGTGGAAGGCAAAGGCTTCGGCTTCATCGAGAACTCGGATGGTTCCGGCCGGGCGGGCCCAGCGCTGACCTTTTGCAGATCTTCCAGGGATTCCCTCTGACCCTCCAGCCACAGGGGTCTATTGCACTAGGGAGAGCCTCCTGGCCCAATAGGTAGACTGGTCTATTTTCCCATCTTCTTCCTCCTTCCAGAGAGTCAAACTTTTTCTCCCTAATGTTCAGTACACAAAAAACGCCAACTGCTGAAGATGAACATCCTCACCTCAGCTCACGAAATCCAGGTGATGTTTTCGTGCATGTGACGAACCTGACGAACGGCGGATCGGAAGACATGGTCGTGGGCGCGGAGATGAGCTTTGACATCGAGGAGGACCGTCGTGCGGGGTCGAAACCGAAGCGACCAGCGACCAGCGACCTGAAATCAGTTACTAGTTGTATACTATAGTAGCTTCTTAGGTAACTGATGCTCCCGTTCGTAGCGAACCTTGTTACTACTAGTAAGGCACTTGTTCCTAGAAGCGATGCACTTGTTACTAATAGCTTCTTAGGTACTAGCTTCTTTGCTCTTAGTAGTACGGCCAGTTTCGCCCCTACTCGTAGCGTCCGATCGCTCCGTTCGTAGCGATGCCAGGAGCCCCGAACGTAGCTTCTTGTTTCTAGTCGCTTCTTAGGTACTAGTATATAGCACGGCCTGGAGTGCCCCGTTCGTAGCGATGCCCTGACCGCTCCGTTCGTGTAGCGGCACCCGAGACCAGGCGAAATCCGAGCCGTCCGCAGCTCCAAACTTCCAACCCAATAGGATTCCAACAGAGGTTGAAAGACCCTATAGACTATCCCATAATTACCCCGGTCCTAGTTCAGGTCACTTAACCTCTCTTGGTTGGTCCAGTTTCTTTTTTTGAACAGGACCGGCGCAGCGGCAAGAATCGCGCCACCAACGTGACCCTCACGAACGGCGGTTCAGGTGACGTTGTTTCGCCGGTGACGATCCCGAACGCTCGACGCGACCCGGGTCATCCAGGGTCGCCTGAGTGGAATTGATGGAGTCTGGGTCTTCATCTTTTCACACGGTTTGGAGGTGTTTGGAGAACATCCGGTTGGAGCACCGATTTGAAGCCTCTGACGCATATCTAATCATCAGATCCCACACGATCTAGGCTTCCGTTTACATCCCTAGGCTTCCGACCACCATTATTTAATAGGCTTTACCGAACTACCATTGTTCTACTAAGAATCTAACACTACGGAACCAGGTCAACCATTTTTGTCATGGTTTTGGAAGTCTAGGGCATTTTGCAAAATTCGCCCTTCATGGAAATGCGTGACTTACACATGTACACAATACTTGGGAAGCATCCTTTTAACATGGGTGGTGGTTTCAGATATTTTTATTCTCAAGCTTTACTTGGGATCATTGAACCCACCGACTCATAGTTGTTTTAAGTTGAATCCACCAACCAGTCATCCGCACTCCACGTTTGAGGAACGCTGCTCCGTCGCACTCCACACCGGGCTCCAGGTGGCGGCGACCGCGACCGCGACCGCGACTATGGCCGGAGCAAAGGCTCTGGCAAGCGTGATCGCCGCTTGGCCTTTATGGATCTGGATGTCAATTGCCACCTATCGTCTGAGCCATGGCCTCCAAGCTAGCGATGGCCTCCAACCGTCTGAAGCGATAGGGGTGCGAAGAACTCCAGAATTTCCATTTGGTTTGGGAGATGTCATTGCTTTCGAGAGCTGAAGGGTCAGCCGTGTGAGGTGGGAATTCCCAGGAGCCTGGTCCCAACTGGCCAATTTCAATCCAAAGAGCTGGTGACCAGCTGGTTGTTGATGTTCCTGATGTTCCCGATGTTGTGCAACACCCTTGAATGCATTTTGTCGACATATCAATGTCCCAGACACTCCATGTATGTCATATTGACCTACATTGGGGTGGTTCCAGGGATCAATGTATAGGCATCATATACTGTATTCGCTACATGGAGTGTCTGGGTCTTATTTGTTTGCAAAAGCGATGGCCTCCAACCTGGAAGCGCAGGCTATGATCCGTACTGAAGTGCCACACCGGGCGAAGAGTGCTGTGACTGGAGCTCACAGCACGTGCGGCTCGGACCGGGCAAGGACATCGGACGGGGCCTTGAAGCACCTGGAGAGCTCTCAGTTGGTTAGGTGAAGGATTTTGCATGTTTCCATTGCGTTTGTAGTGACATCGTGTACAATGAATTTAGTGGTCTTAGTATTCTTCCAGGACCAAAGCTGACTTGTGGCCAACTGCTCTCCGAAATAGTCTATTTGTGGAACCTCCTCTGTACAGGTTAGAAGTTTTGCCTTGCATAGCCTTGTTTTGGCCTCTGTGAAGCTTCCAGAGGTGTGGTGGCTTGTGCAGGGCTCTTTGTTCTGGTAGAGAGGTTTTCACATCGTTGCGTGCATCGAAGGGCTTGCGCTGCATGCTGTATGACGGATCTGTGAAAAATCTTCATCTGCGGAACCGGAATGATGTGAAGGACTTGAAGGAATGGTCAAAAGGACCGGAGATTATGACCTAAATGCAGAAGTCAAGTCACTAAACATTCCATGTCTTTCTGGGAACAGGATGGAACAGGTATTGAACGATCTGTGACTGTTCTCCCAACGTGCTCCGCCTGCAGCCACTGGACCAGAGCACGAGCACCCGACGAGGGACACCCGCATCCGAAGGAAGCATGGCACACGTCGGAACCCTGAAGAGGCGGGCAATTGTGGAGTGGAAAGGACGTAGAGTAACATATAGTAACATATTGTACCATCAAGTGATTGGGGAACACATCGAATGAATATCAATGAATATCAATCTAGTAGTAACACGAAGCTATTAGTAACAGGTGCATCGCTAGTAGTAACAAGTGCCTTACTAGTAGTAACAAGAAGCTATTAGAAACAAGGCGGAGGTTTCGTCTCTGCCCTGAACTCCGTGAGGTTTGTGGAAGGCAAGGGCTTCGGCTTCATCGAGAACTCGGATGGCTCAGGCCTCGAGTTCTGCGTAAGCGGGCTGCGCCACGGTGTCATCACGGGTTCGACCGCCGTGAAAACCGCGGGCATCACATCGACCGGTGTGGGCCGCCAGAATGTATGAAGGAGGCCGTTGCTCAGTAGGTTGCAGACCATCACTAGTAGGTTGGAGGCCGTTGCTCAGTAGGTTGCAGACCATCACTAGTAGGTTGGAGGCAGTTGCTCAGTAGGTTGCAGACCATCACTAGTAGGTTGGAGGCGGTTGCTCAGTAGGTTGCAGACCATCACTAGTAGGTTGGAG